AGACATTCAATTTTTTAAGATGTATTTTACTCTGATTTTATGTATGTATGTCTGTATATGCATATGTGCATATTAGTGCAGAGCCCATCAGAGGCCAGAAGCTTCTAATACCCCTGAAGCTGGACTTATAGGTAGTTGCGAGTCACCTGACATGAGTCTTGGAACTGAACTATGGTCCTCTGCATGAGCAGTACAAATTCTTATCTTCTGAGACATAGTTCAAATTCATGTGTATTTTACCTTTGTATATCTCCTGGAACCCTGTATTAAGGAAACATGACTTAAGAAATGTATTTAATCTTTAAAAGTAGTTTAAAGAATGATTATTTCAAAGTTCTCCACCCCCACACAACTGGCAATACATGTTTTATTGTTGTTGTTCACCACTGAAATGATGGACATGTAGAACAGATAGAGAACATTCTCATGTCCTCGTCTGAGATCCTTGGTAGAATCTTTAATTGTCCTTCAATGTCATTCAAGGAAACATCACACACATCTTTTTTTTTCTAGAAATGCTATTGGATTGAAGAACATCTGCAACCATCTGAAATATGTTTCCCCACGTTTTTCTTTAATATTTCTATAGATATCAGAATTCTCACAGTTTCTGTGAAATGATTTTTCTGAACAAACATCATTTATGCCTATGTCTTGAGTAGTGTCAATCTGAACTGAAAATGTGTCAGCTTTTTAACATCCTCAAATTCTACTTTTAAAGTCATGAAGAATCCCTTAAAAGAGGTTGGGTCATGATAAAATTTGTTTCAGAACAAAGTGACTGGTAAAAACTTGAAGTTCTGGAAGAAATAAAGAACACAGTCCTCCCAGCAAAACAACGACCTTCTTCATTAGGTTGGCTGTGTCTGTTTGATGGAATCTGTCAGGACCACACTTGTTGGCTGCTGATGTTTCACCATTGTAAGTGGAGGTGGGGGAGAATCCTGGGACTCTCAGCTGAAGCTCCAAGTATTCCTCTCAGTCATTTGTAGGCTAGCAGGCCTAATTGCATATAACACTCTCTAAACTGTTAATTAGATAATTGCATTTTAAATGATTTAATTCTCATAAATTTAATCCTTTTCCATGAGTTTATCAAAACTGAACTCTGTGAAGCTATTTATGAACTGCTTTTTGAAATAGAAGCAAATATAAATGTTTATTATATTTATTGGGGAAACCTCATTAACTGGATCTTTTCTATATAGCAGAATTGGTTTACCAATTTGAGTAGAGATAGAGCTCAAATTTAATATTTTTTTATATTATGGGTATACAGTGTAAACTCACCCAAAGACTTTTAAGCATATTGAGTGATAATTTAACATTTAAAAAATTGACAACATTGCTTTGATTCCAATGGATAGTTTCATAATAAATAAGCAAATAAATAAATAAGAAGTATTTTATTAAAAACATTAAGCAGTCTGACTTACTATTAATCCTGGTTGTCTCTGCCTTTACTTATTTGCAACTCGTATATTTTACTAACTGAAGATAGGATTCAAATTCTGCTCTCCCATTAAGTGGGAATATGAAGTTGATGAATTTGTTTATATCTGGCAAACTCAGTCTTAAAAATGAAAGTTCCTATCCATTTCACAGTGATATTGAAAGACCACACGAACTGAATGCAGTTGAAAGATTTTTGTGATTTACAAATCTGTGTAATATTAAATAATATTAAATAATGTGACCTAGCTACCTTGAAACTTTCTGCTTCTTAAAAATGATGACACGGTATGTTATTTCTCAAACCCAAGAAGAACTAGAGTTACCAGGAGGGTACCTTCATGCTAACGGTTTGCAGCTATTCTGGTTCTCTGGACCTCTTTGGGGCCTGAGAATTTGCACTGGTAACAATCTCCCAGGGAATGCTGTAGGCACTGGTTCAGGAAGCATGCATCATGAACTATTGACTTACAGGGGTCACAGAGATGACTCAGCAGGTAAAACCACTTGCTCCTCTTCCATCAGACCAGGGTTTGATTCCCAGGACCCATATTGTGTCCCACAACTTCATGTAACTCCAGTTCAAGGGGATCCAACACCCTCTTATGTTCTCTGGGGGCATCAGACACACATATGATGCACAGATATGCACGGAGGCAATATACCAATACACAAAACAATACAAAGGATTTACTGTCTTATAATTCAAGACTGTGTGCCCATCAGACAAATATGCCATGCAAATAATAACATTGAACATATTAGAAATAAACTGTATTTGCCTGAATACATGATCTCATTATGCTTTTCTTCTAGATTTCATCTCGATGTCCAATAAATTAACAGCCCCATGGAATCAAAGGCATTAATATTTTATGATAATTAGTGTCATATTTTCTATTACTGCTTTCCAGTTCTAACACACCATTATCAGTTCCATAGTTGAGAGCACAGAAGTTGCTATCTCTTGAACACAACAAACCTATCAAAAGACACTTGATTTCATGCATTTGTGATTTTTTAATTGAAAAGGAAAATTCTGGACTGGAGAGGTGGCATAGCCATTAAAATCACTTTTGCACAAACACAAGGATAAGAATTTGGATTCCAGCATTCAAGTAGTAAAGTAGGAATTCCACAGACCCCGGAAACTTCATCTCCAAGGGATCTTACACCCTCTTCCTGTCTCTGCACACACAAGGGCACATACACTAATGTATATACACACAGAGACGTGTAAATAAATAAAATAAAAATTGGAAATAAAAATTCAAGCATTCAGCATTTTAAAAAATTCAAGAACTCTCCAAGAAAGGTCAAATAAGTCAATGGAGAGGGGTGTGGCAGAGATCTATGGCATTAGTTAGTGTTTATTCAGAGATAAATCTTGTCTGGCTCTTCCATCTTCTGTGGACATTGTGTAGAACAACTGGAACACACACACATGCATGTACACACACACACACACACACACACACACACACACACACACACACAAGCATGTACATGCCTGCACACAACATATTTTATTTCAAGAATTATATTTCTTAGATAAAAAGTTATTATTGTTTGCTAGTATAGAAACTCAGCTTTGTTTTTCAGAAATCTTGGACTATAATGGAAAGAATATTGCAATTGATTTGTGTTAAGTTGTTTTTGAAGTGGCATCATTGAAACCTTGTATCCATCCCACCTAAACCTATGAAGAGTTGCCATGTGTCTCATGGATTACAGCTTAAACTGTAAAATGATACAGTTCACCCTCAAAGAAGTTCATAGTGTTTATGAAATAGATATATAATTCCTATCAACCCAAATCAATAATACTCCTAGATTTCTCCTGCTAATAAGACTATTCTTGATCCAAGGGACTCAGTGAGAGGAAGGTATCTTGAATCCCAAGAGAATAAGCCATATTTAAAATGCCAAACAGAATTACAAAAAGACACCAATCAAAGAACCCCTGTAGAGTTACGGAGGAGGAGAATCTGGCCTGTGACTCAGGTTAGCAAGGAAAAAATGAGACAGAAAAACAAATATCGTCTGTTGTGAGATAATAAATATAGGAGTTACATAACTGCAGTAGAAGTCAGTTTTTTATCATTCTTACTGTGCCTGAGTCCAAGATGCTCAGCCTGTTCCTGAACACATTTTAATTATCAGGGCTTTTAACTTGTGACCTTTTCTTTATACAATGTCAGTGTTTACCACATATCAGTCTTTGTTGGATTTTTGTTTACATAGAAAAACCAATTCTAAGTAGGTACAATTTATAATCTGCCACTCAATTTCTTTACAACACTTTTTAGAACCTTTGTAATATATCTCAACACTAACCTGGTGCCTAAATATAACTGTCCCCTGTGAAGGAATGGCTCTTTTCTCTTTGTCTGATTGGGCATGTATTTTATAATGTAACATTTGAAATCTAGCTGCTTGAGCATGTGTGAGTTTTTCATCTTCTTGGACTCTCTATTTTCCAAGTAATTTCTTTCTTCATTTAGATTAAATGTACATTTGCCTGGTTGACAAACCAAATGACTCAGAAAGGCATCTTCCTTGATTACTACATAAAGATGGATAAAGACAAATGATTCACACATTCATGTGCTTCTTTGATGATAAATGTCAAAGACCCATTTTTGCTTCCTTCTCCAAGCTATGATGATAATGACCACCAACTTTTGCTACTCAGAATTAACTTTGCAGATAGTTCCTTAGGGGAATCACAGTTATGCATTACTTACTCAGAAAAGCTTAACCACATTTGTCTAAGGCCTAAAGTGCAATTACTTGGCTGGTTAATTTTTTGATTATTTTTTCATGGTTATTTATATTTATAATTTAGTGGATGGTTGTATAAAGCAAGGGAAATTCAAAGGTGATATTTAATCTCATTGTCAGTAGCTCCGATTTTGTTATGTATATCATTAATATTCTAAACATCTATTACATCAAATGTAAATGGGCTTCATTATGTCTATTCTGAATTGGCTGTAATTTCCTTTCTCTCTGTATTTTCTGTCTGCAGAAAACTGGATGGATATATACACCTCTGTTAAGTCCCTTAAAATTTAAATTACACCTCTCTGACTTTTTAAAAATGTTTTTAAGTGTTAAGATTTGTTGGAAGACACTGGCCTAATGGGTCTGTTGGTAATCACTCAGTCAATCAATACATGTTTCCCCTTGCTTTATTGTGTCAGGTTAATATGGTATATTATGCTTCTACCGTTTGTGGAGAGTAGGCAGCCTTCACAGGGTGCTCAGCGATGACCTGTGCTTTGTCATTTTCATCTGTGGCCTTTGAGAGGGGCCACAAAATAGCAATCAGCTTGTAATCTCCCAACTGCAGTAAGAATGGGTTAGGTGTTAGCCTTTCACTGTTATATTACCCCAGCACTAATTTTTATAGGGTGGGGCTCATCTTGTGAGGTTTTCTCAGATCCTGCCAATCATTGTCAGGAGCTTTTAAATAGAAACACTTTTCAACACTTCAGAAGCTCTTGAAAAAAAGACTTGCACATTTTCTTTTGTTGTCTCCTTAGGATTCTCACTGCTAATGACTACTGCCAAGATGTATAAATGGAACGGTTCAGCTAGGAGAAGAATCTGAGGTTTAAAATGCCTCTTGCTCTACGACAACTTTTCTTTGATTTCGTGATTGAGTTGGGACAGAAGCTACAAGGGAAAACGGACCCCTCAGCCAGCGTAGATCACAGAGAGCAGCTGCTTCTTAGAGTCCTTTATCTTAAGGCTCAAGATCCAGAAATTTAAATTATTTGGGAAGAAGAGTTAAAACTGATGAAACTGAATATTATGGCATTCTTAAAATGAGATGTTTGGTTTTTATAACGTATGGACATGCAAAGAAAACAGATTTTGTTTTGGAATTTGCAGAGAACTGAAGTTATTGATGTTGATACTTGTAAAGGGCACAGTAGTCCCTGTTCATGTGGCAGCGGTTTGTCCTGGAGAACCCTTTAGACCAGAGGAGAAAGGACAGTTAGTTCCATGAGAAATAGTGTGATGGCACTATGATTCTCAGTTTCTTGATCTCATAGGACTTCTATTGGATTTAAGAGCATGAAGTGTACTTAACCAAGTGTTTTATTATAATGTATATAAAATACATATAAAATTTTATATTTTAATTGTACTCAATTGATTTTTAGAGCTATTGGGTAGATAATTCATTGAGGAGAAGCAGCACTGGATATCGAAAACCCTAGACGATGACAGCTGCCCTCCTGGGTGCAACACTGTCGTTCTTTTCCATAAGAGCATTTGGGATGTAGGTCAAGGCACAATTCACCTGAAAGTCACTGACACTCTCGGGCAGTCAGTGCTCCGTGGTCTGATTCTGGATAATAAAAGGAGGTGTTAGTCTGTCTAAAGAAATCCACAGAATGCATGATTCATCTTAAGGACTTATTTTTATATCTTTATCGATATAAAAAGTATGCGACTGTCTTTACAAAAGTTGTCCTATATGCAGAAACCAAGATGGGCATTGGAGTCTTTCTGGAATCTTGCTTGAATCAATTGAATAAAATATTCATGAAGATACATTTTGTGCGATGCTCCTTCTTGAGCTGAACAGAGTTGATGCAGTGCTGTCCTGTAATGGCAGAGGAACTGAGCAATCAATAGTGGGAAGCATTGGCTCACCGACATTCAGACCCTGAGTAGCCAGGACTCCCAGGTATAACTTGCTTAAGAGGAGGTATTGCATGATGCTGCAGCATGATCAGTAGGTATATTAAGTCTGTAAAGTCATATGGATTATGGTGCTCCTAAAAAGAAGAGGCCACTTATGGGGAAGGTGAGGAGAATAAAATAGAATGGACAAAAGCTGGAAAGCCCAATGGTACATTATAGAACAGACTGTTTAGACTGTTTCTGTATAGCAGTTCATTTCATGGATTTAACTTTTATTTTATTTTAGCCTTTTCTACCCAATAACCTATAAATTAGTAGTAATGTAGATAATCAACAGTATAATAAAGCTGATTTTTAATTAGTGCATATCAAAAATAATTCCAACTAATGAGATCATAAAAAGTTTTGATGAACAACTAATCACTGACGTGGGTTTTGAAAGGTGAGGAACACTGTCTGTGAGAAGCTGCAACAATATTTAGCCGAAGATATTAGGAAAAGTGTTGGTTTCAAAGACCAGGAATTGGTGAGCCACCACGTCACCCAATGAGTACACTAAAGACAAGAGAGAAAGGGATGTAAAATAGAAGAGGCAGGATGACTTTACAGTGAAGAAGATCTTAGGAAACAAAGTGAAAATTTAGAGCTATGGGCAATAGGAGAAAATGGACACATTCTAAGTGAAAATGGCATATTGATTTTAAAGTAGTATCTTGTAGAAGTATAAAGAATGCATTGAGTAAGAAAACACTATGTGTAGGGAGGTCATTTCAGAAGACTTGTAAAGGTCTAAATAGTTGGATTCTGGTGATAATGGAGGCAACAGAAACGGAGACAAAGTCTGAGATCTGAGAAGCTGGTATCCTTGACTCCACTGCACTTCGAATATCACAGCTTATAGAATGGAGGGGTGGGTATGGAAAGGTAACTCTTAGCTCCATACATGAATGAGTGGGAAAATGATGAATGGCACACATCAATAGAAATATTAGGATCAAGAGCACATTGCCAGATGGATCTAGGTGTTCAATATGTTGACGTTGAAAGTACAAAGCAGGAACCAGATGAAGCTGCCCTGAAAGAAGCTGTAAATCTAGTGTGAGAAAAAAAAATTAATAGAAACTAACAGAAAAGTTAAAATGTGTGTGGAGAATGCATGCATCTCCAGAAAAAGTGATACAACTAAACTATACTTAAGTATGTTTACAGTGTTTCTGTCTTTATTATTTTTAAATACTTTTTTTTTGTAACAGTATAAAACTTGACTGAATGTTTGTTGTTGATGATTGTATGTATAAGGACGGGGCTTTGGAAACTTTGGAAAGTGTAAATTTAATCTGACAGGAAACTTTATTGTTCACATATCCTAGTTATGGTTACTATTACTGTGATGAAACATCATGACCGAAATCAACTTGGGGAGAAATGGGCTTATTCACTTCCACTTCCAAATCACTCTTCAACAGTGAATGAAGTCAGGGTAGGACAGGACAGCATCTTGAAGGCAGGAGCTGATGCAGAAGTCATGGAAGAGTCCTGCTTACTCGCTTGTTTAGCTTGCTTCCTTACAGAACCCAGGACCACTAGCCCAATGGGGGCCCCCACACACAATGGGCTGGGCCCTTCCACATCAATCACAAATTTTAAAAAAATGCCCCACAGGCTTGCCTACAGCCAGACCTTATGGAGACATTTTCTCAACTGAAGCTCTTCTCTGACAACTCTTGCTTGTGTCAAATTGACACAAAACTAGCCAGTACACCACCTAAGAGCAAAAATACCAAAACCCCTCGCAGAGACCCAAATGGAGGTCACAGTGCAGAAGAGCGGGGCTAGTGGAACTCTTGTGTGAGGAGAGGATAGTCTTGATTGGTTGCAGGAAATACACCTGCATGGTTAAAAGTGGAAGGAGCTTGTGGTTTTAAAATATTATGCAGAAAAGCAAAGACATCTTTTAGATGCCAAAGGATATAATATCAAGGATAACACTGTCAGTAGCACATTTCTCAGACAGAAACGTAGGTTGTGAGCTCCTGATCATTCCAGAGTTATGTTCTCCATGTCTGTGTAAGACACACACTAGTGATTTCTATATAAAACCCTAAATACACCTACACACCTGCAGTCATCTGATGGTAGCTAATTCCAATAGCAGTGACATATTCATCTCAAAAGTTGATAGTGATGATAGTGGAAATCTTAGCTGAACTGGGATAGATAGATTAGTCCGTGCTATAGTAGCAAATATGATTTGTAACCATAGTACTTAGTTAAAGAAAGATCCTCAATTATTGTCTTCTGTGCCTTGATTTCCCAAGAAACCAAAAAATTCGAAAAGAGCTTAAGGTAGGTGTCTCTACTTTAGATCATCTTAGTTTAGAAGTGAATCATGTACCTCTTCTCATAGCCTTGAAAGTTCAGAACTTGTCACAAAGCCCTAATCTAACTGTAATACAGGTTGGGAAGTATAGGTGTACGTGTGGATATTTGACTGTGTGTATTACAGTCTCACTATCCATTGACAAAATGACCCTTGACTTCTTTTCCATTATCCATAGAAACAAACTAGATCCTTAGCTAGGCAGGAAAGTCTAAATTTTGTTCAGTCACTGAATTGTTCAACTCATCCAATTGAGGCATGTAAATCCAGAAATCCTGGGCTCAAGAAAGCCTCTGAATCAGGTCCAAGTGTGTCTCCATTTATTCCAGCATCCTATGAACTTGAAAGACAAATTTTATCTGCCCTTCACCCCAAACAAACAATGGGGCACTTTAATTAGAAAGGGAAAGGCCTGGGAATAGACCACAGTCCTTGGTTCATAGCAAGGGATGAAGAGTGGTCAGGGGCAGGGTGGGAACTTCCTTAATTAGGTCATGATTCTGCTTGCTTCCTCTCCCCATTGTTCTCAGTGACCCTATGTGGAGTGGATGTAAAGGAATGTGCCTACATTAACTGGAGCACCTTGTCTCAACTCACTTCCTGCTCCTACAGGCTGGTAGCCAGAGTTGTTTTAAGTATGGAGCAGGCATGAATTTTTTCAACCAGTCATTCTTTTTTTGGCAATGTAGTAACTTTATAAACTTAATAGTTTTCCAATCTATATACTTCCAGTAAATTTCACAGCTCACCCAAAATTAAAATCATTTTTGGTCAGTTGCTGCCCACTAATGGTTTGAGTGTCTTTGTTATCCATCTCATTTTCTCTCTCAATTTTACTCATTTCTCTCTCAATTGTTATCTTGAGGCCATTAAACTTAATAGGTAAGAGTATACCCTAATTTCATCTCTGTAAATAACTCTATCAACTCATAATATATATTAGAAGCTGGCCACTTGTGATATGGATTTTGGGAGAAGTAGTAGAGATGTTAGCAGAAATACAGAAGTCATCTACATGTTTGATCTTAATGCTGTGTGTGGGTGTGGGGAGATATCTGGGTTTGGATACATTATCGCTATTATTATTATTATTATTATTATTATTATTATTATTATTTTACTTTTAGTAATTAGGAAAAAGAGGTAGGTATGGTGCATACTGATGCTACTGGTATCTGTTAGGTAGAGATGGGGATGCTCCTGAGCAGATCACAGTGCAATAGAGAACCTAGTTCAACACAATATTGTGTTGCTCCTAATAATAAGGAGGTTAAGATTGAGAACTTTATCTCTCAGTACACAGTCCTGAAGCTTTTATCACTACAGAATTTTTCAAGAGTTTTTAGAAAGATCAAAATAGGCCATTACCACCTTCAGTTTTACTTAGAATAACCAGGATTTAAACTTTTAGAAATAAAGCCATTATCCAGTGGCAGCTAAACATCTAGCAGGAGACCAGATATTCTAAATATTTATACATTTGTGTATATATATATATATACATATATATACATACATACATACATACATACATATATATATATATATATATATATGTTCCTATATTTCAGTTGTTTTGGTGTGAATATACCATTGAATCATTTCCAACTCATGACAGGTATCTAATGAGATCTAAGATTCAATTTCTCCCAGTGTTTTAGTCCATAAATGTTATTTCTCCAGTATGATAATACGAACTTAACTTTCAGAGTAAGTGTGAGAGGTCAAAGGGCTTGGGATGAGAAGCTAGGTGGTGAAAAGCTGGAAATAGAACTTACCTCGCAGGTGCAGCTGTGATCAAAGGCAAACAGTCACGAACAGAAAGGCCATGGTTTCCACGGGAAGGGATGCTACAGTGCTGTGTCTGGTGTAGGAGCTGCTGGGCACGCCTTCTTCTCTGTATTCCGGAAGTGGTTTAGATCAATTTATGATTAATCAGTAATTGTCTTTTAGGATTTTTAATATCCTTGTGGAAACTTAGCATCACATTTTAGAGTATTACTCCTGGAAAGGTCTAGAGAAAAGTTTAGAAGATGAACTGTTTACCCAACTCAGTCCTATTTAAAAGACACTTAGCCTCATTTGTAAGTAGAATTTTTGGTTTGCTTGTTTCTCAGCCATTGTCAATATTTTCTTTTATTCACCTATTTCCTTCAAATTCTAATCTTGTCTGAAAATGGAAGGGGTAGTTAAAGGGTCCTTTTTGTGATTTCTGTGTCCCCAAGTACAAGTCTTCCTAAAAACAATCACATTTAAGAGGAATAAATGGGAGGGTAGTAGGGTTTTTGTTCCCTGGCCTTGTTTCCAGTTCACCTATTTTGACCATTTTAGATTTGAGAAATACACATTACCACCTGTTTATAACTGCGTTCTTACTTTTGTGAAGAAAGGCAAAATTAAAGAGATTTTCCTTCTTATTCCTAAGTTTGTAACAAGAAGAGTGCCAATGTTTCCCCTCGTCCTTTGTGCTAACATTATTCTATCCCATGCCTTTTTTGTAATTATGAGTAATACCCCAAATATTTTA